CGATCACAATTTAGATCAAAACCCTCTTTAGTTTGAATTGAAAAATCTAAATATCAAGTATGAACAAAGAAAGAAACATTTGTATGAATTTTTTGCCAAAGAGGGCTGGAAGATTAATCTTTGTTTTCCTTTGTTTTTTTCCCTTTGTGTTCCAAAAAACAAATATCTTTTAACCCGATATTAATATATGATGGCTTGAACCGGACATAAAAACAACATTAAAACGATATCGTTTAATTGCAGGGGAGGGTGACGTCCACGTGGCAGAACCATTGACATTCACTATCCCTGCGATTCTGCTTTTTAAGTACGGGCATTAGATTCTTGGATAATCAGATTAAACGTCATTACTCGTAACAACAGTAGATTTTAAGCCTCTGTTTAAGTTTCGTGCCGAGATAGGGAGGGAGAGCACTGAAGTTCAGTACATTGCCATGGCGGCAGTAGCGAGCTACTGCAAGCCTTCGCCATTTGTTACCGGTCAATCTCATCCTCGCCTTGTAAGTCTTTCTCTCTCTCTTAAATTTAAACATATGCACGTATGTTTGTACGCACGAAATATACCTGTATGAGATAAGATGATGTGATACTTCTGTTCATATTGGATTATTTAGGATCCTACGAATAAATTTCCTTTATTTTCTGTTGATTATCTGACATAGGTGCTTATCCTGGATTCCTTTGTGGTTTCTCAGTTAATTATTTTTGTACTGGAGTTTAGTCTTTGCAGAATTAGAGGTTTGAGGATCTAATCTTGCAATAGAACGAATATGATTGCTTCTGGTGGTAGAAGTATATCCCGTGATTGTTCACTTTTTATTTACCTGTGAGACAAGAGTCATGAGTACCAAGAAGTTTTATCCATGCGCGATTCTGATTGTTCAATTATGGTGGTGTTAGATTTTGTTTTCCCTTGTTTATTGAACTTTATGAGGACATGTTGCACTACTAATTATTTAACTGATGTTGCAACCGTGATTTCTGATCTTAAATTGATGCCAATTTGCGAAGGAAGAGGGAAATGAATAGGAAGGAAACATGTGCTCCAAGGGAAAAGTGGCAGGAAAAAGGAACAGGTTTCTACTGTAGAATAGGAAGGATAAATTGGTTAGCGAAAGTTGGGTCTTTTTCCCTTCATTGAAACAAGGTCTTAAAAGGTTTGCTTCCACCAGGCGAGCAAATTCAACTTCGTATGCAGATATGGTTTGTCCTATGGTGGTGAGGTTGTCTGTATTTTAGTGCTGGTTTGTCGGAGACGCTCTACAGGCTTGGCAAAAGTTGAGTGTTTAATGCGCTGACTATATTTATGTAAAGTGTGCCTTGTTGAAGATGATCCTCTCACCAGCCTGTGCGCTTCAAATTTTAATGTCCAAATAAAGGGTCATTTGTAGTCTTTGCTTTTTAAAACGAAATGGTCTTTTGTGGTGAGAACATCTAGTATGTATTGTCAGGCCCTATTCTACCATTCAATCTTGGCACCTCTTATGAGCTGTGATATTTAGCAGATGCTGATGTGTGGAAATTGTAGGGGAAATCATCATTAAGACAACATGTTGGGAATTTAGAGAGGGCATCTAGAATCACCGAATTGTTTTAGAGATCCAAGAAGTCTTTGGAGCCACAGTAGCTGGAAACTTAAATTAGAGATTTCACTTCAGGCTGAGAAGTGTCCACTTTTTATAGTCCTACAGTAAATTTTTGGCGTTTGATGTCTTTTCTTGTAATGTCTACTGCAGATTCTGATTCAACTTTATTGATTTTAAAATCCAGGAAGTCCCAAGAAACCAATTGAATCTAAACAATATCTCTTCAGTTGTTTCTTCGACTTTAGCCGCTACAGCTCCTGAAAGTTAATCCTGTTCTCACACTTGATTTCTTTCAAGCTTCGAAGAGTCAGGTTATGCTGTGAAGGTTATGTATCATTGCTTTATGCTTGGTTCCATTACAGTTGACACCAACCAAGCAGCATAGTCCACCTGCACAATTTGTGCTTCATAACAAGAGTATAAAATCTCTTTTGTTGCTTGGTATGCCTTCTGAATGGATGACATCCACCATTCATCTCAACTAAAAAATGAAGGAAACAATTCCAATCCCTGAGCTTTAGAAGAGAAAGCTGATGTTCAACCAAAAGAAACCTACTGTATCACCCAAGAAAACTCTTTCATATAGCTCACAGTCTTCTGAGTAGCGAAAAGAAACTGAACTCTCATTGTGAGATGTAATCCATCATTTAAACGGACAAACCTCCAAGAAATTCAAGAGCTTGTTTCCTTTATTGTCAACAGAATTGTTCTGGTATCTTGATCGAGGATGACTTCCTTTTCTGCCACAACACAGCCTTCTCTCACCCAAATCTTATCACTATTGCCAACACAGAAGTCCTTAATATCTCACCAAAACCCAACCCAACCCTCTTTCTCTCACAAAAACCACACTCCAAATATCTCCTTAAGCTCACAATCAAACAAACCCGTTGACCCCGTTGTCTCGTGGACCTCTTCTATCTCCCAGCTCTGCCGCAGTGGCCAATTACTTGAAGCTGCTGCTGAGTTTACCTGCATGAGGCTGGCTGGAATACATCCTAACCACATCACCTTCGTCTGCATTCTTTCAGGCTGTGCTGCATTTCCAGAAAGAAGTGAACTTTTGGGTGCTTTAATCCATGGATATGTTTGTAAACTTGGTTTAGATAGGAATAATGTGATGGTGGGGACTGCGCTTGTTTATATGTACGCCAAATATGGTTTGCTATATTTGGCTAGATTGGTGTTTGACTGTATGGGCGTGAAAAATTTGATCTCTTGGAATACCATGATAGATGGGTATGTGAAGAATGGAGAGATCGAGTATGCTCTTGAGTTGTTTGATAAAATGCCTGAAAGGGATGCAATTTCTTGGACTGCTTTGATTAATGGGTTTGTTAAGAGTGGTCATTATGAGGAAGCATTAAATCATTTTCGAGAAATGCAAATCTCATGCGTTATGCCTGATTATGTTACCATTGTCGCTATTCTTGCAGCTTGTGCCAATTTAGGAACCCTCGGTCTTGGCTTATGGATTCATCGGCTTGTGTTGAAGAATGACTTGAAGTACAATGTCAAGATAAATAACTCCTTGATTGACATGTATTCTCGCTGTGGTTGTATGGAGTATGCTTGCCAAGTGTTTGATAAAATGCAGAAGCGAACTTTGGTGTCATGGAATTCAATTATTGTGGGTTTTGCTGTTAATGGCTTTGCAAAGAAAGCATTGGAGCATTTCCATATGATGCAAAAGGAAGGGTTTATTCCAGATGGAGTTAGCTTCACAGGTGCTCTCACTGCTTGTAGCTATTCCGGTCTGGTTGAAGAAGGGCTTCAATATTTTGATACCATGAAGAGGGTTTACAATGTCAGCCCCCGAATTGAGCATTATGGATGCATAGTTGATCTTTATAGTCGTGCAGGGAGACTGGAAGAGGCACTGGAGGTAATAGAAAGCATGCCCATGAAGCCAAACGAAGTTGTGTTGGGTTCATTGTTGGCTGCTTGCAGAACTCATGGGAATATAAGCTTAGCTGAGAGGGTGGTGAAACATCTGGTTGAATTGAATTTTGAAAATGATTCTAGTTATGTGCTTCTTGCAAATATGTATGCATCTGTTGGAAGGTGGGATGGGGCGAGTGAGGTTAGGAGAAGAATGAAATCCCGTGCAATACTGAAGAGACCAGGATTTAGTTCAATTGAAATAAATTGTGAAGTTTATGAATTTGTGGCTGGTGATAAATCTCATGTTGACACTGAGATCATTTATGGAATGCTTGATCTTCTGTCTTTTGAGTTGAAATTGTTTGATTATGCTCCTAAAAATGTTGATGTGGGTTTATATGAGAACAGTTGAAAGTTTTATAAATTGTTTTTTCATATAGAATTTGTTATATTTGTTCTCTTTTGAGGTATTGTTTTATCATTTATGCACCAACTTTTTATGGAATTATATTCATAGAATCTTAATTATCATAATCCCCATTTCTGATTAACTTAGAGTAGTCCCTGTTGATACAGACTGTTAAAGCTCTTAGTCGAGATCTTGATCCACATCTTTTTTACTGCGGAGCATGTCTATGAATGTGACTTATTAGGAATAAGAAAAAGCAACTCACTCCATATTACAATCAATCTTGCTTGCTTCCTCCAAAGGTAGACTAGCTATTTTTATGCCCAACTTTGCCAGTTTCCATCCATTTTCTCTTTCTAAAATACCAAGCCCCAATCTCATTTTGTCAGACATAAACTGTTCCACTTCAAATTCAAAATTTATAACCCTATTTGATTATATAGTTTTTGTTTTTCCTTTTTAAACTTATTCTTCTTTGCATGACACTCTTGTTAATGTTAGAACTCAGAACAAAACAACTCTTGTTTGTGATAACTTGAAGTTATTACTTTTCTAGTGGAGAAGGAAACAACTCAGTTTAATTCAGTCGTGTTCTCCATATTTTTTTTGTTTATATCAAATTGAAGCTATTTATAGCGACCAAGCTAGAGGAATTCTTACAATTTATTTGACTTGCTTTTCACTCAAAATCTTCCTTTTCTGCCACTCAATATCTTATTTATCTTAACTAAACTTCTTTTTACTTTTGCTTTACATAATCTCATTTTTTTCCCTACATATTATCTACTTTTGATAAAATAATAGAACTTTCTTTGAAAAACACTCAAATTCTCGCACCCCTTGTTAAACTTTTTCTTTGTGATTCCAAATTTTTCTCTCAAACACTTGATTTTGCTTTCAGGAGAACCTTAGTTAGGATATCTGGTAACTATTCTTTAGAATTATAATGCACCAAATTTATTTCTACATTCTTCTCTAATTCATAAAGGAAATGAAATTTCCCTTTTCTATATTTGGTCATGCCATATTGCGTAAGATTCTTGGTAATCAAAATGACAGATTTATTATCAACTAAGTAACAGTAGCTCCACTTCAGACTTGATTTAAAAAATTTTTCTTAGTTAAATTGCTTGATTTGCAGAAGCTGATGTGGAATATATTCTGCCTTAGCTGTGATTAAATACGAATGTCTTGCTTTCTTGAATTCTATGAGTAAGAAGAAAAACAAGACCAGAAGTTTTTGAGTCATCAATACATCTTGCTCAATCACTATCTTTAAGTCCTTCAAGAACTTCACTCTTATTGTTCAAATACCATATTCCAAAATCGAATGTCTATTTCAGATAATTAAGCACTCTCTTTGCTGCTCCAAAATTTTCTTGCTTGGAGACTTTATAAACCTTGAAAGAAGGTCAGCAGATTACATCTGGTCAGGTCTATTTGTTGTTAAATATAAAGGACTCCCGACTAAACTTGTCTAGATAGATGCATAATTCTTGACATCACGATCATCCTTTGACAAATCTGCCCGCAAGTCAAGTGGAGTTGTAATGGGCATACTTTTTTTCTAATCTTAAACTTCTTAAAAATATCTGAAGATATGCTTCCTTTGGAGAGGATAATGCCAGAATTACTGGATTTTCTTCTGAATAAAGTATTTTATTTTGTCCAAATATAATTTCAAATTCATCCATCGTTTCTTTCTTAAAACTCCATAAAGATTGAAATCTGTCTCCAGGCATCAATAGATCATTTGCACACAGAGATAGTTACTGACTTCTCAGATTTGCAACCGTTCACATTTAGAGTAGGTTCATTCTCACCCAAATCTGAATTTGAAACTTATTCATAATTTCTTTCACAAAACTCTGTAAAGATTGATATAGTTTTCACTCACCAAAAGATCATCAGCACAAAAAGAAAAAAGAAAAAAGATCCCCTGCATCTCAAATTTGCAACCCTTCACATATAAATTAGGCTTCTTCTCACTACTCCTGAATCTAGGCTAGAATTGACGCTGCCAGGGTGCCTATTTTAACATATAAAGAGTCTTTTTAAGCCTGTAAACTTTGTCTCATGGTCAAAAATAAAAAAGCCCTCAAGTCGATCAGCAAAGACTTCTTTTTGCGCTACCCATTCAAAAAAGCCAATGTAACATCCATGTGGAAAATTTTCCAACCCTTTTGTGAAGTAATGGAAATTAATAGCCTAATTCTATTCTACCTGGCTATAGGAGTAAATGTGTCACCATAACCAATCCCCAAACTGAGCATTGTCCATAAAAAGTATATTTTTTTCCATGATAAGATCATAAAGTTTCAATTCAACACCCACTTCAACTAGCACCTTAAAATTCTTGCGTAATTTCATTGGGTGGATATGACATGATATTGGGTGTTGATTGGATGAAGCAATTCATTCCAATGATATTGGACTTTATACAAGGCACTGTTAAGTTTAACTATGTTGACTTACTCATAGTGCTTACAAAAAGTGATTCTTATAGGAAGTTAGCCACCAAAATAAAAGAGTTGATGCAAGGAAGTGGGCCAAGCAAAAGCAAGCAAATGAAGGCGGAACTGCATTTCTGGTGATGGAAGTTGTAAAGGAGATAAAAACTCCAGAGACCCCAAAATAGCATTCGGAGCATTGCCTGACCAATATAAGGATGTCTTTGAGGAACCCCCAAGGGTTACCTCGGGTTAGAGTCTTCAATCACACCATTTCAATGACTCAGGAGAATTCCTTAATGAATATACGTCCTTACAGATATTCGTTCCACCAAAAGAATGAAATAGAAAAACAAGTTCAGAAGATGTTGGCGAGTTACTCATTCGTCCCAGTTGGTACTATTGGTCAAGAAGAAGGATGGTACTTGGAGGTTCTATGTTGATTAGAAGAAATTCAATTCCTTGACTGTAAATAATAAGTTTCCAATACCCATTATTGATGACCTTCTTGATAAATTACATGGAGCAATTATTCTTCTACAATTGATCTTAGATTTAGGGATCATCAAATTCAGGTGGAGGAAAAAGATATACACAAAACAGCCTGCAGGACACACTAGGATCACTATAAATTCAAAATGATGCAATTTAGCCTTACTAATGCTACAGAGACATTTCAAACCCCAATGTATCTTCAAAGCCTTCATGCGAAAATTCGTTCTTGTTTTCTTTGATGACATATTAATTTACAATACCACCAAACAAGAACATTTCCAGCAACTGGAAGAAGTCCTGAAACTACTCATGAGTAACAAATTTTATGCAAACAGTCTAAATGTTGCTTTTTCTAGGCCGAGATGGAATATCTGAGGCACATTATCTCTCTGCAAGGAGTAAAGATGGACCTCTGAAAAATTGAAGTCATTATTAATTGCTCGACGCCTCAACCATTATAGGCTCTCAAAGGATTTTTAAGTCTAACAGGGTATTACTGCAAATTCATATAGAATTATGAAGTTATAGCCAAATCATTCACAAACTTGTTGAAGAAGGGTATTTTTCAATGGAACATAGAGGCCAACCGAGCCTTCCAACTATTAAAAACAGTCATGACTTCCAACCTTGTTTTGAGACTACCCAAATTTGGAGACGTTCACTATCAAGACTAATGCTAGCAACAAGAAAATTAGAGTAGTTCTAATACAGGAAGACCAACCTATAACATTCCTACATAAGGTTTAAGCCCCAAAAATCATACTAAATCAGTATACGAAAAGGAACTCATGGCAGTCTTATGTGCAGTGTGACAGTGGCGACATTACTTGGGAATGCTTAGTCAGTGTCAAAAACCAGCAAGTTTTGTAACAAAGGACCATACTTCGTGAAAATCAGCTTGTGGACAAGGTCCTTATCCAGTGGGAAATTATTCTAACTGAAGAATGCACATGGGAAGATTGCGAGTATATTCAACATCAATTTCCAAATCTCAACCTTGGGGACAAGGTTGTTGTTTAAGGAGAGGGTATCGCAATAAAACCACTAAGAGTTTATTATAGGAAGAAGGGCAAAATGGAAATAAATGTACAATGGGCAAAATGGGGTTTTCTCCTACCACTTGCATGGAAAGTTCTCAAAGAAGGCTGATCGCCAACTGTTGTAACCGGACCAATTGTAATGGTTGCAACTAATGAAATCACCTTCTGTAACAAGTAAGAGCGCCTAACAGACTGGTGCATCCTGCCTGCCAGACTTTGCCTATAAATAGGCTTCATTTGAATGAATAGAGCATCAGATAATCAATCCAAATCAAACTTGATTCCCTCTGATTAGTTCAGAATCATCAGTACGGGTTCTGACATAGTTTTCTCAAGATGGTTTGTTCTTTTGTAAGTTTCAGAAGGTGAAAATTTGCCCTTCTTTGATAGAGTCCTCTAACGCTTTTGGCACTTTGTCTTTTTCTGCTTTGCAAGTAGCAGGTTTCTTACCATCCTTGAACATTAACCATGATCTCTAAATGCTCACCATAATTTGTAAGTTGAGTTACCAGCTCAAACATAGTATAATTGTCATTGATCGTCTTATCATCTTTCATCCTCAATATTTCAGACTCTCTTTTGAGAGTTAACAACTTGATAGTTCATATCCTTTTGCTTCATTTGAACTCTTCTTGGAGCTCGTCTCATGCTTGCTTTGTTATTGTAGCTCTCAATATCATTGAAACATTTTCTTCCATAATTGCTAGTAAAGGAAGGATAAGCTTTAAAGTTTTTGGTGTATGGCTCCATATGTTGCTTGATATGTTGGTGAGATTTTATGGAAAAGGGACCCACTCTTACTCCTTTCAAGAGTATCCCACTGATAATAAACCATGAAAAAGAACTTCGATTCTCATCCTCCAGAAATTATTATTTCCTCCTAAACAAAAACAAGAAGTGCAGGTAAGGAAAAATGCTTGTTATTCACTCACTTTTCTGGAAAAAAAATCATTGGAGAAAAGGATTTGATGAAGTTCACTTCAAACTTTCACAGCCATTCAATAAGAAGGCCCTAATACCATTTATTACAACTCTCAGAAAAAAACTACTTTAATTTGTGATAACTCAAAATTCTCACTCTTCATTAAAGAAGAAAATAACTCATAGCACAAAAACTTCTTTTATATCATTTAATCTGTATTGTATCTTACATGTTTGTTTCAAATAGAAGCTATAAGCAATAAACTTTCAAAATTCTGATACACACTTTATTAACCTGCCCTATATTTTACTTTTCTTACATGAAGATCTTGCTTCTCTTATACTTAACTTTTTTTTCTTTCCTTTATACAATCACATTTTTTATGCACAATTTACTTATAATAATACTACTTTGTTAAAAATCACATAAACTCTAACAGTTAATCTGATTAAGCACTTTTGTTAAGCTCAAGTTGGCAATGATGCTACTTCCTGAGCTATACGTAACTTGGATTTAAGCTCCTTACAAGGCTTTTATGACATCTAATTAAATTCTCTTGATGGCAACTTTATAAAATTTTTCTAAAGCAAACAGTAATATGAAGCCAAAGAAGACACTCACGGGTCACAGCCTCACAGTTAATATGGCTTTCAATGTCAGGCAAGAACCAGGTATTAATATGATGGCATTTCATTTTGTGAAAGTGGGATGTTCTACAGTATGATATCACATATCCGAATAATTAGAATAGACATCATAACTGACAATAATAGTTTTTTAGCTTTTGTTTTAGTTTTGTGTTGAGAGGAGAGAGCAGTGAGCTTCAGTTTGTGTCCATGGTGGCAGTAGTGAGCTATCGCAAACCTTTGCTATTTCTCTGTGACCAATTCCATCACCACCTTCTAAGTCTTGTTCTTTTATTCTTGAGTATAAACATCTACATATATGTATATATGTATATGTATTTGCACAAAACGAACCCGCATGAGAGGAGATGATATGGCACTCTTGCTATTTGGATACTTTAGGATCCGAGAAACAAAATTCTTTTTTTTTTTAAATTCTGTTGGTTATATGGGTGCATATTCTTGACTGCATTATGCAGTTTCTCAGTTTACTAACTTTTCTAATGGTTTAATCTTTTCATAATCATTATTGTGAAGACGTAATCTTGCAAGAGAATGGATATGATTGCTTCTGGACAAAAGCCTGTGTGATTCCTCTCTTTTTGTCTACCCGGGAGATTAAAGTTGTGCACTTAAAAAGTTTCTTTATCCATGCATACTTCTAGCTATTTACTTAAGGTGGTTTTAGATTTTTTTTCTCTTATTTATTAAATATAGAAGGAAATATCGCATTATTGCTTGTTTAATTCATGTAGAAGCCGTGATATTTTTTGTCTTAATTTGACATCAATTTATATTGGTCTTTTTCTCTTTGTAAAGGAGAAAATCAAAATTTGCAAAGAAAAAAGAATAAATAGAAAAGAAACATGGCCTCCAAGGAGAAAGTGGCTGGAAATAAAACATCTTCTCCATTGTAGAATAGGAATAAATTGATTAGGGAGAATTGGGCCTTTTTCTCTTGGGTGAAACAAGGTCTTAAATGATTCCATTAGACGAGCAAAGTCAGCCTTTTGTACAGATCCCATTTTTCCTATGGTAGTGAGGTCATCTGTCTTACCACAGTTTATCGGATATCCTCTACAGGCTGGCAGCGTTAGTTCTCAATGTAATGACTATATTTGTGTAAATGTCTTGTGAAGATCAGCTTCTCACCACCCTGAGTACTCAAATTTCAATGTCCAATAAAAGGGTCACTAGTAGGCCTTGCACGAAATGGCTATCCATTGTGAGATAAAACGTCTAGTATGCAGTATAAGTTTCTCTTCTACTATTCTGTCTTGGCATCTTTTATGAGCGGGGATACATTAGCAGATGATGATATGTGGAAATTGTAGGGGAAATCACCATTAAGACTACATGTTGGGATTTCAGAGAAAGCATCTAGAGTGACCGCATTATTTTGGGGACCCAAGAAATCGGTGGAGCCACAACAGCTGGAAACTTCATTGGGGGATTTCACTTTAACAGGGTCAGGCCAAGAGGTGTCTAATTTTTGGTGTTACTTTGATATGTTTTTTCTTATAATATCTACTGCTGATTCAACTTTATTGATTTTAAAATTCAGGAAGTCCTGGGAAACCAAATGATGCCTAAAACAATATCCATTTCAGTTGTTTCTTCTATATCAGAGGTTTCATCAGATGAATGGGATGCATGCACTTCAGATGCTACAGGTTCTGAAAAGTTTAATCCCTTTCTTACACATGGATTTCTTTCAAGCTTGGAAGAGTCACGTTCTGCTGTGAAGGTTACGTATCATTGTCTATACCATGATAATTCATTAGTTTGATATCTGAGATTTAGTATAACACCTGCTTGGATATCAAATGGGAGTAGAAGCTTTGCATTTTGTTATACTTGCACAAGAATGCATCTCTTTTCCTTCCACTCTTTCGATTGAAATGTTTCTTGTATGTTTAGAAATTGATTTAATTTCTCGGATGACACTTAATAGCTTGCACTATTTTCAGTAAGTTCACTTTCTTCTACTACTCATTCTTATTTTTCATCTCTTAAATGTCAAACTGAGTGTTACGACCAGCTGATAGGTATATATATGTTAACTTACGTTCCTTTCATTTAGTTTCTGTTCTATTACTCTTTTATTATTTATTTTGACAATTTTATTTGCCCTTCATTTAGGTTTATAAATGAGTGGGATCATGTCATGGTCCTGGGCTTTGGATCTAGTCACCGGGCTTTCTAGGGTGGAGTCCTGAAGCAAGCAAGCTGCTTGCTTCCAAGTTTTCCAGCCTTGCCAACCAACAGTGAAGCTTGTCCAATAGAACCTCCAAATTTTAAGAGAAGAACTCTTTGGACTAATAGTTGATGATTTTATTCATGGTAATATGCATGTTTATAGAAAAGCTAATTGATTTAGATCCCTATTACAATTCTAGGAATCATAGTCTTTTTTTATTCCAATTCCCTAATCTAAATCTAAACAAAGTTCTA